AAGAGTTATTCTCACTGCTTATATAGAGGTCAAGACTTCCGCTGTGCATATATAATCTCTCAAAAGGTTATAGTTCACTCTATCTAGTTGGGAAAAACTTTAAAGTCGAAAAAGCTTTAAAAGTCTATTCACCCCCTAGACTTTTACCTCTATCCGGGACCATCATTCTACATTTGGACCCTATTTTTCTAGAGAAGAAGTTTCTTCTCACATTGCTAAAAGTTGGTGCAATCATCTTAATATACTAGATCAGTTTCAATTATAGTAAAAGTAAGATCTCATTTTTGGGTGAACAAGAAAGAAAACATCATGATAGGTACTCTATTAACTCATATATTCAATTATAGATTATAGACTTCTTAAAGAATATAAATTTAGCTTTATAACTCATGATTGAATGAAAAAGTTGTTAACTAAATCTGCCATATGAAGAGAGAGGAGGAGCAATGATGGCATGTGGAAACTCTAGCCGTCGCCTTATCTCTTCTTTTCTTCTCTTCTTTCAATCTTCTTTGATTCCAATAATGGAAAAATATCTTCTTAATCAGTGTTTTCAATTCTATTCATCTGTTTCTTTCCAACATTGTTTGGAGATATTACTTTTGGTTGCAAAGTATCGTCTGCCAGATGCATATTCTCCACTACTTTCGGTCGGGCGGTCTTGTGTGCTAAGAAGAGATTTGCACTGATCTCTTCATCAATCAAAAATAAGATTTTCTTCTACGCCAATATTGAGACGGATCGCCCCTGTCCTGAACCACTGCCGTTCCAGGATCAAAGATTAGATCATCTGGATTGCTTTCTTTCCGGTGGCTGGTAAAACCGGAACAAATTCTACAGTTGGCTCCTTACCGGTGGCTGGACAAACTGGGATATTTAAGAATTCTTTTGATAATTATTGTGATCGTAGCATGCAGGAGAAGTCAATTTGCGGGTAGAGTCTATTTCTTTGCGGGATTAGCGATTCGACGTTTTTGATTTAAATAGTCCGTTTTCATGTCTCATCTCATTGTAGTCTTGAGCTTTATGATTGTAATTGTTCTTGTCATCTTTATTAATAATAGGAAGATTTGCAATTCTAGTCCTGTAACTTTCGACTGTTATCGTTTTTGGTCCTGTAACTTTAAGCACTAGCAAGTTTGGTCCTGTAACTAATAAATCTTTGTAATTTAAGGACATTCCCACCGGAGAGTACACTTTCCGGCGGAAAAGTTCAACGCCGGCGACATCTTTTCCGGTATGCTATTGCTGGAAAGTGTACTTTTCAAGGGAAAAGTCCTTAAATCGCAAATATTAATTAGTTAGAGGACCAAATTTGCAAGTGGCTAAAGTTACGGGACTAATAATGATAACGGCCGAAAGTTACGGGATGAATATTGTAAATTTCCCTTAATAATAATTAAGTTATTTGTTTTCAAAAAAACATCATATGAAAATCACAAATCTTTGAGAGTACAATGAACAAAATCTTAATCACATATGGCACGAATGATGGTATAAAATGTGAGAGGTAACCTGAATTTCAAGAACATAAGATATCATAAATTACTTCAATCCCTTCTTAATACTAGTCAACACATCCTTCAATTATATAGCACGTGTGTGACTGATAGTGCTTAATCGGGTTACAAAATGAAGCCAACTTTGATTAGAGGTGGGATATGCCGCATGGGACATTCATCACAAGACCACGTGATAAGGTGACAAATATCTAAGATCTAATTTTATAATCAGTAATTCAATATGAACACACGATGAATAAAAATGAGATACCTAAGGATGCAACACTGCGTTATCAACAACCCACAAACTTGACATATAATTGAGTTAGTCGAATTTAATCTATGATTGTGGTTTTTAGACGGTAACAAAAAAGGCATACTCGAATTTTAGACGGTAACAAAAAGGTTTACTCGAATTTAATCTATGATAATTAGTTTTTACTTGGAGTGAAAATGAAACGATACCAAATGGGTTTAGGTCTAAGACACCAGAATCGTTTCAAAAATCATAGTACGGGCGGGTACACGTTCATCAGAATATTGGACCATGTCCAGCCCTAAAAAAATTTACTCTATGTGTATTTTACAACTGTCGAGGTTTGGTCTGATCATGTGAAGTCTTGTCTGTTCTGATTTTGTCTCGTCTCGGACAGGAACCGGTCCCAATAAAAACACCATTAAAATATTCTAGCTTGATTCGACCTGTTTCAATCTATTATGTTGTGGTTTGATTTGAACAAACATGGTCTCGTAGGATAAATAGGAAGTGCATGTTTATTGGGTGTTTTATTATTGTTTTAATCTAATCCAATTTGGTTAGAACAGGCTCGAAAATAGTGTTTGTGATTCAACTTAATTTGTAAGTTTAACTATTTAACTAATAGTCTCGAGTCTTCAAGAATGCGATGCATCTATGATGTTCTCTATGCGTTCATTAAATTAAATTAGTACAAATTAGCATCCTTTATGTCTTCAAGCCTTCAACGATGCCTATTTTATTAGGATGTTACATAATTACATTATATTCTCACATTTTATGTGTTCGATAGTGTGAAAATGTAGCATCTTAATAAAATTTCAAACCTTTTATGTTTGTGGATGCAGATAATACACTCATGCTGAATCACGCTAATTAAAGTTAGAAATAATGACTAAAATATTAGCATGGGACTTTCAAGAGACAAAAATATCACTAATTTTGGATTGGACAAAAAAGTGAGTGTATTGTTAATTGGACATTTGGACCCAGCATTTCTCTTCAACTTCCAGACTCGTCTCTTCATCTTTCCATCCTTGCGGCCTGCACTAGTGTTCACGCAACTAGCACCCCAAACATTTGCCTTCAACTCATGCGTTTCTCTTCCGACGGTTGCGGGACTCCATCTCCATTTCTCCCAGTTTGTGCGACAGACCAAGATTCTGTGGACGACCAAGGATGACGACGGATATGGCGACGTCGACAGCCAGCAAAAATGACGATCCGCCTCCAACCTCTCCTTCTTCACCGAAAGGACACCGACGCCTCCGCCTTGCGCGCCACCGCATGCCGCCTCCGTCCCCTGCCGTCGACCGCCATCTTCTTCTATTTCTCCAGATATGTGATGGTGGACGGGTTATTCCTTTCTGATTTGGGATCTAGATCTGTGCATCGCCGGTACGAATCAACTGTGGCTAAGATTTCAGGTGGACGGCGGCAAGTTTAAAGTTAGGCGGGTGGGGCAGGTTGTTGTGTGCTGGTCATTCGTTGCTCTGATTTGGGGTCCGATTTGGGACCGCCGCTACATGTGGGGTCCGATTTGGGACCGCCGCTGTAAGTGGGGTTCGATTTGGGGCCGCCGCTGCTGTTAGGGTTCAATTTGGGGCCGCCGCTGCCGCCGGTTGTGTTATGGCCGAGGTTTTGTGCGAACTGGCCGGAGAAGGACATGGGGGAGGAGAGGGGCGGGGAAGGGTAGCAGGGGAGGAAGGTTGGGGGCTGGATGTTGGGGCTGAGGGCGGGGTGGCTGGATGTTGGGGGTGAGGGCGGGTGGCTAGTGGTGGTGACTGGCGGTGACGACTGGGGATGGTTGGGTCACTGTGACGCTGGCATCATGGATGGGAGGGGAAGGGGCAGTATGGTTTGGCCATGTCGATGGTATGGCGATGCCGGCGGGGGTGTCACTAGAGGAGGGTGGCGGCGTCACTGTGGCGGCATCACTGTGACGATGTCACTATGGCGGCGTCACTACTTCGTTGTCACTACGGCCGACGATGGTCTCCGGCCAGCGTCGATTACAGGTCGGAGGTGGTGGGTGGTGGGTGGTGGATGTCACTGTATCTCATGTCACTGTAGCGTTTCACTGTAGCATATCACTATGAAAGTTGGTAAATAACTAAGCTTATTAATTATTAATCACATTTTTGGAATTTTTAAAAAAAGGTCACTTTTTTGTCAATTGGCCCATTATTACTAATATTCAGGGCAAAAACCCTTAAAGTTATTTGTCTCTTTCTTTTACATTTTTGTTATTTTCTATTATGGTGTGATAATCGAAAGGCAAATAGACTTTTCTACTATTTTCAATTTATTAAGCTCATGTACTAGAAATATCATATATATTAATACGCTTACTTTAAAATATATTGATCAATATAGCCATTTAATTAGTTTTTGACCTTAAATAGCAAGGTTTTTATATTAAAAACAAACTCTTAAAATGTTAGAATTTGAAGAGATAGATAAAAATGTGAAAAAAATTCTGAATGTGAAAGTCAATATTTTTTTGTTTCTGGAATTATTTACATATTCTACATCTATTCAAAAAGTATTTACATATTTAGTTTTATAATTTTTACATTTTCAATAAAATTTCAAACGTTTTATGTTTGTGGATGCAGACAATACACTCATGCTGAATTCCACTAATTAAAGTTATTTCTCTTTCTTTTACATTTTTATTACTTTCTATTATGGTGTGATAATCAAAAGGCAAATAGAATTTTCTACTATTTTCAATTTATTAAGCCCATGTACTGGAAATATCATATATATTAATACGCTTACTTTAAAATATTGATCAATCTAGTCATTTAATCAGTTTTTGACCCGTAATAGCAAGGTTCTTATATTAAAACAAACTCTTAAATTGTTAGAATTTGAAGAGATATAGATAAAAATTTGAAAAAATTCTGAATGGATGTGAAAGTCAATATTTTTTTGTTTCTGGAATTATTTACATATTCTACATCTATTTAAAAAGTATTTACATAATTAGCTTTATAATTTTTACATTTTCACTTTATTTTTTCATTTTTCATATTTTTTATTTAACATTTTTTAATTATTTATCTTTTCGCATTTATACTATTTTATGACACTATTACATTATTTATCAACTCATATGAATTTTTATAAGATTTATGAGGTATCCTAATTTCTTTTTTAAAAAATAATCTACTATAGTAAGTCAAAATCACTTGATTGATTGTATCTTAAAAATAAGTGTGTCTATAGGATACTTCTTTTAGTACAATACAAAGACTTAAGTGATGGATTGCAAACTCGTATTTTTAGTACTATAGTAGAAGGATCTATTTGATCATATCTCATGATATTAGAAAACTCGTTTCGTAGCATACAATTAAATACCCAGAAGTGGATAAAAACCGGGAAAACCTTGTTGATCCAGGGAAAATCATGTCAGACCCAGACCCTAAAACCCCGATATACCCGGAAAACCCCGATTTTGAGGGTTTGTCCGAAAAATAACTTTTATTTTTTTATTTTTTAATATTTGTAAACCAATAAAGTTGTGGTTTCAACATCCTAAAACGAAAAAATATTTAATACATTTATATACTCCGTATTTATTTAAGAATGAAAATCATGCCAAGTTCAGAATTATATTTTGGAATATTATGAGAGTGATTTAGATGTCTAATTACCATTAGTTGATTATTATAAATTGTTATAAATAATAACCACTCTGCACCGGCCTCTTATTATAAATTTGTATATAAATATATGTTCATCATTATTGTATTCTCTGTTAACCGGTTTTCCGGCACTTACCAGGTTAACCCACCTGATCTGGGTTGACCAGTGACCCAGACATGTGATCGGGTTGCTTCCTGCTCCGATTTTTTAAACATAGGTTAGAAGGACTCCTATTAAATACTCCGTAGTTCAATATTTTTCACATTAGTATAATAGTATTGAATATAATTTCAATGGTATGAAGGCCAAAAATAGAATTATCTTGAATAGGGTTGAACTTTCATGATTAGATTATGACCAGTCCTTTACCTGGTGTTATACGCGCAAATTTTGCAAACTCCACCAATCATGATTACGTACCAGGCCATGAACGATGATCATATATCATTGGAGAAGTCTCGGCTTCTAATTCGGTTTTAGGAAATAAGATTTTTACGAACAAATTATGTTTCCTAATTGTTATTATATTCAGTTTTAGTATATGACAGAGTTCTATTCCTGTACGGAGTATGTTTCCTAATTGCATGAAATTCAAGTTCATATATTATTATAAATACATTACATCTATCCGCATGCAGGCCAGCAGGCCCTAAGGATTTGTGTATTTACCAGATCTATTAATTTCCTCCATCTTATTAACATCCTCATCACTTACATTCTCAACAGATAGAATGGGCTATACTCCATTCTTGTCGAATGATATAATCTTGGAAATTCTCAAAAGACTTCCTGCCAAGTCTCTTATGCGGTTCAAGTGTGTTTCCAAAGGATGGCTCAATATGATTCTTAATCCTTTCTTCATAGAATCGCACCAAAACCAGGCCCGAACCCGCCCCGATGCCTCTCACCGCTTGTTTGCCTATTCTCACTACAATCATCTCTTGTTATCTTACCATTACAATGATCACCCAGAACTTCTTATCCAGACAATCTTCTCCACAAAAATGAAGCTCGATTTTACCTCTTCACAAATTCTCTATTCTCAACCTCCCCTCTGGCTTGGTGCTAATACCCGCATAACCAGTGAGTTTCAAGGAATCTCAAACATTACCAATGGTCTTATTTGTGTTCATATTTATGACGTCGGTTGTCGGGAAAAACAATCTCTTTGGTTGATAAACCTTGCCACAATGCAAAAGAGATCTCTCCCAATCCCAAGGTTGTGCTGCTCACACACAAGCGCCTATTTTCTGGGGTTTGATTCGTCCTCCAAAAAGTACAAAATCCTCCATTTTTGCAGTGGGGGAGAATATGATTGTCAGGTTCTCACTTTGGGAAGAAGGAGATGGAGGCGGGTCATCGGGCCAAATCCTGGTAAAGAACTTGGATTGGTTGAGGCTATGTCCACGGATGGAAGAATATATTTTATGGTGGGAAATAGAGATCTTCATGTCCTGACATTCTTTGACTTGCGTACGGAAAAGTTTGAACATCTTTCCATTCCAGAGGCCTCTCTTCGTCGAGAAGGTAACACGGGATGGCATTATTGCCCTTATTATTTTCAAGAACTTTTGGAGATTAGAGGAAAGGTGGGACTCGTGCGTGGATTGAAGGTTTGGATTTTGGAGGAGACCGGTTGGATTGAAAAGAGCATAATCCTTCCTAATCACGTTTATAACGGTACGTTTGTTGGTCATGAAAGAAATTACAAGATTGTCATCAAGTCTTCTCCAGGGGCCGATATGGCTTCAAAGTACTACCTCTATGATTTGGACACGTCCGAGTGTATAGAAGCTCCAGAAATCGCTATCCACGATTTGAACTTTAGTAATTACTTATTTGGTTCAAATCTTTCTTCATATAATTGTAACACGAAACTCTTCAACTATATTGAAAATATTACAACATTGTGATGAATTTTTCCCATCATCTTATATTATTTTTCAATGAAACATTTTTTGGATTCAAGTGGATTAAAAAGAAGTGAGATTTAATTTTTCCAAGTAAACTACGTACGAACCATGAGCAACTAGCTAGTTACTAGTATTGGTTTAATAAACAATCCATTTAGATTTATTAAAAGATGTGATCCTCCCCCCTTGGTTTAATTTTATATATCAGTTAAATTTGACGTCATTGTGCTTGTTAGTGCTTCTAAAAATGATCTTACTTTAATCATTATAATAATATGGAAGTAGTTTCATACTAGCTAGTTACAGACTTTTATCGTTTAAATTTGACGTCTAATGAAAAAATAATCGTGAGTTAATATGCAGTGAAACTGCCGTGTGAATGTGTGATGTACTCATTTTATCCGAAACAATATTATAAGTTAGGGAGAGAAGAGCGGTCGCCTCCTGTTTTTTTTTTTTCTTTTATTCTCTTTTTCCAATATTCTTTGATTTCAATAATACAAAAACATCTTCTTAATCAATATTTTCAGTTTTAATCATCTGTTTCTTTTCCAACGTTGTTTATTAGAAATATTATTTTCAGTAGCGAAATATCGTCTGTCAGATTCATATTCCCTGCTAGGGGAGAGCACGGGTCGGGTTCGGGCGGGTCAGGTCTGCGGGCATCAAACCCGTTCGGATTTTTTAATGTGATTCTTGAACCCAACCCGCGTTGTTTGGATATCGGTTTTTTCGGATATTAGAAAGTCGGATAATTTCGGATATCGGTTCGGATATCGGTTAGTTCGGTTATAGTTAAAACACATTGAAATTGCATCATTAGTTCATTAATATGAACTGTCAAAGTAAATTAGACAATCCAAGCAACTAAATTGGAAATTACAACCAACTAAATTACTTAGCAATCCAAGCATAAACTAACTAAGTATTTAAATTACAAACCCAGCACCAAAATAACCAAGTAATTAGACAGTTATCAAAAAATATAAATTAGGCCATATTGGCTATTGCAAACCCAGCAGGCCAGCACCACTGCACCATAGTTTACAAAGCATATCAAATACTGCAAAACCAAGTCTTCTCAACTTTAAGCCTGCACATATGACATATCATCAATGAATAAATGCATAATCACAAATCACAATGCACAGAGTTATTACATATTGGTTCAGATTGCTTCTTGTCATTTCAAAACTAATTGGGGGCATCCAAAGTAGATGGTGGTAGGTTTCAAGCCATCTCATTATGTAAAGATACATTGGAGGCAAATCCAAATTACCACCAACTACTCCTAATACCAACCCAATCTTATTTCAGTATATGGTGGAAGCTTTCATCATAACCAAAACGGGGCAAATGAAGAACAGAAGAAGCAGTTAAGTTGTCAGGAAAAACAAAGGGGCAAATGAATAGCACCGGAAATTGAATAGGGGTTGTGGGCAGTGGAAGACATCCAACACCAACACTTCCAACACCTATTGTTAGTCACCTTGGTAAATCATAAATGAGCAATAGAAACAATGTTGACAACATGTCAAAGCTTCCACTATTTGAGGAGACAATAAACTTGTAATAAATAAGTAAACCATTAAGTTAACTGGTGAAGGATCCACAGAAGATCCCGAAGCATTTTCAGTAGCAGCACATGTCCCATTTATTAAATCTGGAAAACATAAACACATCTTTTAAGGCATACTGAAAATAAGTATACATCAAGCACATGTAAAAAATAAAATAACCTGTTTCCATCTTCTCAAGTTCATTAATATTTTCTTCAATTGACAGAGGTTGGTTTTGTTTTCTCAACCAATCTTGACAACATATCAAAGCTTCCACTATTTTAGGAGTCAATGAACTTCTAAAGCAATCTAAAACTCGGCCACTAGTACTGAAAGTGGATTCAGAAGCAACTGTGGAGATGGGAACAACAAGAATATCTCTAGCCATTTTTGAGAGTATAGGGAATCTTTGACTATTTAATTTCCACCATCTTAATATATCAAACTCTTTATCTTCCTCAACAATAGCCTCACTCAAATAAATTTCCAACTCAGTTTTTTTCAAGCCTAGTTGCCCACTCTCAAGTTTCTGTTTTTTTAGTTGTGCTTTGAATTTAGAGACTGGTCTTGCAGTCTCAGACTCACAGATTACTAAAGCAGCAGGAGTTGAGTTTGATTCAGAGCTTCCACCAACACTATCTGTGTAAATACTCACATAATCTGAAAATAACTCAGCCAGAGCAAGTTTGATATTTGCAAAAAATTTCTCACCCTTTTTTTGAGTATACAAAGCATTGAACTGAAAGGGCATGTATTCAAACTTGTCCCTAGGGTCTAGAACATTTGCAAAGAATATGAGATAGTTCATCTTTTCAGGATCTCCCCAATACTTATCAAGTTTGGATTTCATAGTACTTCCAATGGTACTTGTAGAAAGTCTATCTAACTTCATCAAGTCCTGAAGGACCATAAACAGATCAGACACCTCTGAGAAGAAAGTATTAGAAGTAACATAGAGAGAGCCTGAAATTCTGAGTGTCATATCATAAAAACTTTGAAGAACTGTGACCAAAGACTCACAAGAAATCCAATCCATAGTATCTGGAGTGTCAACACCCAAATCAACTGCATAACTGGTTACATTCTCCTCATAAGCTTCAAAAACCTTTTCATTACATAAAGCTGACTTAAGCATTAGGTATGTGGAATTCCACCTAGTTGGAACATCAAGGTGTAGTCCACATTTAGCTTCCATCCCAATTAAGTCAGATATGTCCTTAAACTTTTGAAGTCTAGCAGGAGAATTCCTAACATACTTAACTGCTTCCCTAACCCTAGACAGAGAAGTGTCAGCTTGTTTTAAACCATCCCGAACTGCCAAGTTTAGAATGTGGGCAATACATCTCATGTGAAGATACTGGACTTTAACAGAAGAGGCCCCCCAAGATAATAGTTTTTTCTTGAAGAAGCCTACAGTTGTATCATTACTGCTTGCATTATCAACAGTAACAATAAAGATGTTTTTTAGCCCCCACTCTAAAAGGCAGTTCTCAAGAGCCTTAACAATGTACTCCCCTTTGTGAGAAGTAACCTGGACAAAGGAAATGATCTTTTTCTGAAGCTTCCACTGATGGTCTATGTAATGAGCAGTAATACACATGTAGTTGATCCTCTGTACAGAGGTCCATGTGTCAGTAGTAATACTTACCCTTTGTGTTGTCTCCCTAAATAGCTTTTTCAAATTCATCTTCTCATCCAAGTAGATTTGGTAAATGTCCCTTGCAATGGTCCACCTAGAAGGGATCTTAAATCTAGGGCAAGCTATGGACATAAACTTTTTAAAACCCTGCCTATCAACAAACCTAAAAGGAAGCTCATCAATTATAAGCATTTCTGCAAGAGCTCTTCTAATTGCAGTTTGGTCAAACAACCAAGTCCCTAAAACCCCAGCAGGTTCTTCAGTAGGACTTGATTGGAAGGTTAAGAGGGCTTGCCTAGTGTCCTTAGAATGAGTGTTCTTCAGACAACTGAGCATGTGATTTCTTATAGATGAGGTGCCATGTTTTTTTGAATGACAAGCATATAATCTTGCACAATATAAGCATTTCCCTTTAACAAGAACTCCCTTTTCATCATAAATCTTGTCAAAGTGTTCCCATACTTTGGACCTGGGTGCAACCTGTTTCCTCTTTTGGCCAGAAACCTGGGTGCAAATATCAGTCTGTTGAGTGGTATCATTATTCTCTATAATGGGAGCTTCCACTGCAGGTTCCTGGCTTAGAGGAGGTTCACCAGATACATGCATGGTAACACTATCTTGACCATCCATCTATATAAGTAAATAAGCAATTGCATACACATAGGTAGATTAGGCTTATGGCATTGAGCTTCCACATTTTTCTCATAATAGAGGCTTCAAATGTTTACCTTTCATATATGATATATCTTTCTCATATGCATACAGAAACACAAGGTAGTCAGGCTCCATCATCATTCACATATGCATAATCATATATTGGACAATAGGCATACAGCTTTAAGAATTCAGTACAAGCCTCAGTCCATCATCATTACATATGCATAATCATACATTAGGCATACAACTTTAAGAATTCAGAACAAGCCTCAGGCTCCATCATCATTCACATATGCATAATCATATATTAGGCAATAGGCATACAGCTTTAAGAATTCAGAACAAGCCTCAGTCCATCATCATTACATATGCATAATCATACATTAGGCATACAACTTTAAGAATTCAGAACAAGCCTCAGGCTCCATCATCATTCACATATGCATAATCATATATTAGGCAACAGGCATACAGCTTTAAGAATTCAGAACAAGCCTCAGTCCATCATCATTACATTTGCATAATCATACATTAGGCATACAACTTTAAGAATTCAGAACAAGCCTCAGGCTCCATCATCATTCACATATGCATAATCATACAGTTTAGTACTCCGAATTCATATATAGGATACTTAGTCAGTGAGGAGCAAGGATTCATATTTCACCACAACTTAGAGACATCAACATATTATTACGCATGAACACATCAACATCATCATAGATTCATAGTCACTCGTCAACATCATAGATTCAAATACAATCATCATAGAGTTTCAGCAAGAATCATTCATTTTATCAAACATTCAAATACAAATTCACAACAAAACCGTAGATATCAATACCTCAGAGTCAGAGACAATGCAATAGACTACAAACTTTGGAATGATCGAAGAATGATTTCCACCGATTAGGGTTTCAGCAAATCAGCAAGACTGTGTGCCTTTCTGTGTGAGAGCTTCCACCAAAATACCAAATAGAACTATAGGATTCTCAACTCTCAAGTCTCAACTCTCAAGTAATCAAGTGTAATTGAAGAAGGAAATCAAAGACCGAGAGAGGAGAGTAAGGGTTCAGACATAAGAGAGTTAGAGAGAGGATATAGCGAAGAGTAGAAGACAGATCGAAGAGGCGGATAGGGTTA